ATCGGATATCTAATGGGTGTGTTAGAATCTATAATGGATGTCAATAAGATGGCGAGATGATAATTCCCTTATTTGGGTTAGAGAACACGGCAAAAGCTGGAATTACTATGGAATTACTATTTCTCTACTGACCATTAAAAACCATATATCCGATATTCATCTCAAGACGAATGGTCTCAAGGGTACATAGGTGCAGTACAGGAGCTCTATGTAGCCTCGTATGGATCCTCATTACGCATACTATCTAAATATTAGGTTTCATCAAATTGTAAATTTAGAAACCATTGTAAATTTGGATATCATGGGTATTATTTTATATTTATAAGATATAAGAAGCTTTTGCTCAAAAGTAGGTTTTTATTCTACTATTCAGTACCTGGGATGGAAAGATTTTTATTATAAGTACTTTGAATTAATTTGTTTTTCTTTTCACAAAATGCTTATTGGAAAGTAAACACCTTCTAAGTGTATTCATATTGCAATATGAAATAGAAAATGTTATTTTTGTCGGTGAATTATTAAGATTTTTTTGAATTTTTTTATATTTTTCGGGATTTTGAAATCCCGAAAATCCCGGGATCCCGATATCGGGATTCCGGGATTTATTTAAAAATCCCGAATCCCGGGATTTCTAAATATCAGTCCCGATTGGCATCCCTAGTGGTGATAGAGGGTATATATAAGTTTGTCATTCCGTCCGTAACACCAAGAAATATTCATCTGGGACCCAACAAAGTATATATATTCCGGGTCCTTATCAAATTCTGAGTCGATTTAGATATGTCCGTCCGTCCGTCTGTCTGTCTGCGTAAAACACGCTCACGTAAAAACGATGCTAAATAAATTAATGAAATTCGGCCAAAAAATTTACTATCGTCTTAGGCAGTTTGGTACTGAAAATAAGTCGGTTTACATCGGAAAGAGTTATGAATCAAAATTTAAAAAACTTTTGACACATTCTAATACAATTTTCACAAAAACTATGCGATATAATTTCATAAACATCAGCGCACAATTGTTTCCATATGAAAGCTTGATTCCTGTTAAAAATCGACGGAATCGGTCCACATTTTCCTATACCTCCCATACAAAATTTGGATAGTGACAAACAAACATTAATAAAATTTTTCTAAACAAAAAATGTATTTCAATATATATTTTGTATATTTTTTATTTTATATCGACAGGGGTAGTAAAGCACGCCGGGTTTCAGCTAGTGTATGTATATTTACTAGGGTGATCGATTATTCGACATTTTCCAAAAACCGGTTTTCGAATAGTTCGAATAGTTGATATTTAAAAAAAACCGGTTGATATTTTTCAAATTCAGAAAAAACCGGTTAACCGGTTTTTCATTGTAAATAAAAAAATATATTTTAATTTGAAATACTTAATGTTTATGTTTAAATTTGATTAATAAAACATGGCCCGAAATGATTTTTAACAGTTTAAAAGATTATAACTTTAGATCTAGTCGTCTGATTTACATTATTTCTTTAATATAAAAAAATTAGGAAAAAAGTGGACACTTCTGTTAAACATAAGGTACTATGTAATCCTAGCTTATTTTAAAAGCCCTGTTTAGGAAATTTGCATAGACATTCCAACACTTCCATAAAATTTCAGCCGTAAATTAATTATGGTAATTAGAATGTAATCTTAAGATTGATAAAATTTTATCAAACAGTTATCAATTTTACAAATAATTTTTTTTTAATTAATTAGGAAAATCAAAAAAGTTTAACCAAAGGAGCTGTAGAAAAATATACGCTAGTTCCTCGACTCGAATATTTTTAAAATTTAGACGGGCTGTATTATTATTTACTTAAAAATTTCATTTAAATAATTTTTGAATACAAAGCAAATAAAAGTATTCGAAACCGGTTTTTAAAAAGTGAAAAAACCGGGTTATTCGATATTCGAAAAATCAACATTAAGAAAAAACCGACACTGGTAAAGCAGAAAAAACCGGTTTTAAAACCGGTTGAAAAATCGAGTCGATCACCCTCATAATTACATAGTTGATTTATTACTACAGATCAACGAAGTTTTTTATACTTTGCATTTTAAAAAGAGAAGAAGAGCAGACAGCATTAAGTTCAATTGTTTGCAAAAATAACCAAAACGAAAAAATAATTCACAAGTACACATGCAAAATAAAAATAACCAATTTTGGTTAATAATAATCAAAGTGGCAACACTGAACAGAACCTGTACATGTGAGAGAGTAATATTTCTTACTCTCAGTAACAGTTCTATTTATTTTTCTATGCCTAAAATTGTCACACAAACAATATTTTGCAGATATACATATGGTCAAATTGTTACATATGAGAGATGCCACGTAAATTATTGCAAGTTCGCCATTATTAGATTTTAATGTAATCTATGAAGAATTCGAATTTGAATAGTTTCCCACAAGGACCTAAAATAACTGTTAACAAAATTTTAGAAATCAAAAAATGTTTAAGAAATATAATTAAAAGTTACACAATAACTGTTTTAGGCAACATAAAAAAATAAATGTTGCTCGTAACTGTTATTATTCAATTTATATTTTTTCTATTGTTTTGAAACACTTATATTTGAGAAATATTTTTTTCTTGTCAATAAGAATTTTCTATTAGCAAATGTAATTTTTTTTATTATTTAAAACTATTTTAATTGATATAGAAAGAATGGTCAATAATGGACTTAATCTTATAGGAATGAGTAGATAAATGTTGGTTCCTTTAGAGCATTTGGGCTATGATCAAATAATAATTCTAGTCCCAAATTTAGTAAATAGATTTTGGTTCCAACTTGGAAAACTTCATTATGTCGAATTTTATCGCTATACATACTGGTATTTTTAAGCGATGTGAAATAAAAAAGTTTGTTAGACGTAAAGTAAAACATACAAGTACTGTTATGACCTAACTGACTTACTTATTTCATATCAATAAGTAATATAAAAACACTAATAAAATATTTATTGAAATATAATATTTATGTATAAGAAATATTTTTTTCGTTGTCTATAACTGTTATCAAACAATGAAAAAAATAAAAATTGAAAATAAATAGTTATGGATAAGAAAAAATAAAAGTTGAACTATAATAGTTGCCATTTAAGAAATATATCATAAAACTTATAACTCTTATGTCCTTGGTTTCCCAGATATATTTAATTCATATGTGAGTTGCCAAGGTTATAGGCTACTTTTTACTTCAAAATTTCAAGTAGGCGACGTGCCACGCCCACATAAAAATTAAGTTATGAAAGTCGCAAATCTCAGAAACGGCAGGAGCTAGAGTCCTCAAATTTTGTATGGACAACTGGCACTTTAATATCAACATTAATGTTTAGGACAAAAATTGGGCGGACTAGCAGTAGCGGTCGTGTCACCTCTCATATGAATTAAATATTAAAATTCGTTTATCTGGGAAACTATTGGAGATAGAATCTTTAAATTTTGCACATCCATGTGAATATTTAGAAGAAAAATGGGCGGGACTTGGTACCTCCCATAAGGGGGACTTGGTACCTCCCATAAGGGGGACTTGTTAATAAGAACCACAAAGATTCTATGGGGTGACCCTGATGAGAACAAGACGAGAAATCTCCTCAAAATGAGTAAGTCTGAAGTTAGTATGATGGTACATATTCTGAGTGGACATACAGGACTACGAGCACATCTATACAAAACTGGCCGTGCGGATTCAGACGAATGTAGAGCATGTGGAGAGAACAGTGAAACTCTGGATCATTTTCTTTGCCACTGTCAAACGTTCGTCATGTTAGATCCAAGTATCTTGGAAGTGATTTTATTCCGGAAATAACATTCCTGACTAACACTGATTGGAAAATTCTTAGGAATTACGTCCAGGAAACTAAGTTTCTGAAGATTTAAAAATAATATACTCAGTGAACATTTTTGTTCATGAAAAGGAGCGCACAACAGGCCCGATAGTGGCCTATGTGTATTTCTTCGGATTTGATGTGCTATACATCCTCCTATCAACATAACCTAACCTAATAAAACTTTGGATATATATTTTATATTATCTGAACTATAATATTCTTTATTTAAAATGTACAACAATAATGAATTAATACGTATTCTCTAAAATATTACAAAAAATACGATTTTCCCGAAATCCGCCGAGTTCAAATCGCAGGTACAGCTAAACTGTAAGAAATATTGATATTTTTGCCTTATCTATTGTCCATAAATCCTCATGAGATCTTGGAAAAAATTTTGAAATTGGTTTAACAAAGTTAAAAAAAAAAAAAATTGGAGATTTGAAACGGACGTTGAAAAAATCAAACTTTTTTGACCATAGCTGAGAACAAGTTTGCGTTATCTAATAAGGGCAAAAACTAACATTCGAGTAATTATAGATACATTTTAAGTAACAAAATATTTTTTAGAATATATCCAAAAAAAAGTAATTTTTTTTGTTACATTTCGAATTCATGTGCTGTGAGACACGTTAATGGCCTGGGAAATTTGCAATAACTTTTAAATTTTTAAGCAATTTTTGTGTTTAATATCTTTGCGAAATGCGTAATTTTGAACATTAGGATTCCTTCAGAATAAAGTGCAAAATTTGTTACTAAATGACCACATTTGAGCAAAAACTGAAAAAAATCGATGTTTTCCCCTTGTAAAGGCACTTGGAAACTTCAGAGCCGTTGCAGCACCTGTCAGCCTAATTTTTTGTATGACTTAGTTTAACAACCCAAAGAACAATTCTTCGTTTTTTTTTTTGGAGCACTCAAATGTACATATCGTCACCTAAATAAAAAAAAATCAGGAGTAGCAAAGAAAAAACATCTCGATTTATTTTTATTCAACAAACAATGTGTGGTGACGATATGTAAGTAGGACAGTTATATATGTATGTTTTTAACAAAATATTTCTTTTCTATTTTCATGTTATCCAATACGTCATATTATTATAATTGGTGGACATTTTAATGTAAAACTGGTAAAAACGGTTTGTTCAAAATACAGAATTTGCTACATTCAACAGAAGCACCTTTCCCCGAATACAAAACTCAAGCATTAAAAAAGTCTCGGTTCATTCTTCCACATTATGGCGTCTTTAAAGGATTCTGGGATTGGATAATATTGGTATCAACATTTTATGTGGCCATTTTGGTGCCGTACAATGCAGCATTTGCGAAGGCAGACCGTCAAACAATGGTATCCGATGTTATAGTAGAGGCGCTCTTCATTGTGGGTAAATATTGTTTAAAATTATATATCAATGATTCATAACAGCATTATCCAATATAAAATCATTCAGACTATTTTTTACCCTTCGTAGGAAGCTGATGCTTTTTATACCCTCCACCACCATCAGTGGTGATAGAGGGTATATATAACTTTGTCATTCCGTGAGTAACACCAAGAAATATTCATTTGAGACTCAACAAAGTATATATATTCTCGATCCTTATGAAATTCTGAGTCGATTTAGCTATGTCCGTCTGTCCGTCCGTATTTCTGTCTGTCTGTGTAAAACACGCTCACGTTAAAACGAAGCAAGAGAAATTCACGAAATTCACCCAAAACATTCTTTATCCGGTACTGTTTGGGATTGAAAATCAGCAAAATCGGTTCACAGCGTAAAGTTATGAGTTAAAATTTTAGACAACCTCGAAAAATACGATTTTTTCCTAATTCTTTACAAGTTTTCTCAGAAATTACCAAAGATATTTCTATGAATTTTGTCACACATTATTTTTTCAAAGCAGTGATCAATTATGTTCAAAATCAATCAATCAATCAATCCTATATTTCCCATAGCCCCCATACAAAGGTATATATTCCCGGAAATTAGTTTATCGTTTATAACTTCCTCAAATATATCGGTATGAACACAAAATTTTGAACATACAAATGTAATATGTACAGAAATCATACTATCAACGTAGATCTCAGTCGGTCCACAATTGGTCACAGCTCCCATATAAGGTCCACTTCCGAAAATCACCTTAACGCGCATATTTCATTGCTAAATAAAGCTATTGCGATAAAATTCGACACAGATATGTTTTGTGTACATACAAATCGTTCTACCAAATTCTTTACCGATCGGTCCATTATTGGTTATAGCTCCCATATTCCATTGTCAAATAAAAATCGACACAAATAAGTTGTGCCTAAATATGAATTACTCTACGAAATTTTTTCCGGATAGACTCATAATTGGTCATAGCTCCCATATAAGGTCCACTTCCGAAAATCACTTAAACGCATATATTTCATAAAATTCTAAAGCTATAAGGATAAAATTCGACTTGAATATGTTTTGTGTACATATAAATCATTCTACAACTTTTTTCCCGGATCGGTAAATTATTGGTCATAGCTCCCATATAAGGCCCATTTCCGAAAATCACTTAAATGCACATATTTCATTGTCAAATAAAATATATTTTGTCTTTATATGAATCACTCTACGAAATTTTTTCCGGATAGGCATATAAAGTCCACTTAATAAAATCACTTAAACGCATATATTTCTTTGAATAATAAAGCTATCGGGATAAAGTACGACTTGAATATGTTTTGTGAGCATATAAATCATTCTACCGATTTTTTTTCCTGATCGATCCATAAGTTGTCTTAGCTCCCATATAAGGTTTACTTCTGAAAATCACTTAATACCACTTAATTCGTTATTAAATGATTATATCCGGATAAAATTCGACATGAATATGTTCTGTGTATAGATAAATCATTATATTAAAATGTTTTCTAACTGGCCTATTAATATACATTTTTCTGGACTTAATTAAAATTAGATTGACATATGCATATCAATACGGAAACATCAATTTTGCCAAGTTATCTAAAATTTAGATAATTAAATGGGTTTTAATTAAAAATAGCTTGATGGTGGAGGGTATTTAAGATTCGGCACAACCGAATATAGCACTCTAACTTGTAAAATTATTAGTTTTATAAATATTATTTAAATTATAAATATTAAAGCTACTTTTACATTATACCTACGGTGACCAGACGTTCTGTATTATCCAGAATAGTTCAGTATTTTAGAGCCCTTTTCTGTATAAATTATTCTTTGCTAAAAAACGTGAAAATGTTCTGTATTTTATTTAGTGTTCTGTATTTGTTCAGTATTTCGTTATTTTTTCAGTTTTACATTAAAACGCATAGAAAAACGCATTAGAAATACAAAAATATTAAAAAAAATCTAACACAAATGTAGGTAATACCATATAGTAGCATATAGGCGAAAGGGATTGTCAATGACCTAAGTCCCCTGCAGTGTGACCAGGTCTCAAAAAATGTTGCGGCTAAATCCCATCCAAAATAATGCTAGAAAAAATGCTAAATTGATTTTAAAATGCCCAAAAAAATGCTAAAATTTTTTAAGTGTTTTTATGAACAATTCATATTAATTTGTAACTGAAATTCATTGTAATTTATAACAAATAAGAAAGTATATTCTGCCGTGGTTGACCATATGAGTATAAAATTTGATTTATTTTTCGTAATAAAGCATTTATGTTGAATTGAACCTTGGTTCCGATATATTTAAACTAACTTTCTGAGAAAGGCTTTATACATTGGTATATGTAAGGGGGCTAGGTAAAATAAAGGACGGACTTTAACCATTTTTAAAAGGTTTTGTCATTGGATCAAAAAACATACGTTTTGAAAATTTTAACCTCTACCAGACGGTCAGACTTACATGGCTTAATCGATTCAGAAAATGATTCTTAACCGATTAGTATACTCAAACGTAGTATAGTGGAGTAGGGTAAAAAATTAAGTTCCGTGGTATTAAGATAAACTGAAATGCTAAAAATTATTTAAAAATTTTTGTAAATTTAGCAATATGTAATGTCTCTAACTTTAAAATGTTTCTGAATGCAAAAATTACATTAAAACTCAATTAATTACACTAGTTGCTCATGGTATAACCTATATGTGTTTTCGGAAGGAAAAGTCTAGTTCTAGTTTTACTTTTTTTATATAAACAATTTTATTTGTCTTCCTCAAAACACTTTAAAAATGGTTTTCATGTCACAAAAATATTGAAAATTCCGTTGAAATAATTTTAAATCTCGGTGAATAGATGTCAGGTTTACACCTCATACTTCCAAGATTTTTTCGGAAAAATATATATGAGAATGTATGAAATGAATTGAGAGATATATTCAAATCCGTAAGTTTGCAATTCTGGAATAAATTGTCAATAATATTTTCGAAATTTATGTATTTTTTTTTTAATTAAAAAAAAAAAAAAACGTGACAACAAAATTACTAAAAATTTGGTAAAAATAAAAAGAACAGAAAGTAGGATGAGAAAGTCTTAATTATATATTATTGATTTTTTCAATACTTATTTTCAATAAATTAAAAAGAACTCCTGAAGGATGATAAAAATTAAAACCTCTTTATTTCGTATAGGAAAAAATAAAATTTGTTAATTAACCGTCACACATAGCCTTTTCCAAAATTATATGTTTCATTCCATGAGCAAACAGAAAGTATTAGTTTGTAAAATAGCGTACTGAACGTATTTGTAAAAATATATGAAATCTCTTGAATTATTTCTATCACTTCGAATTTAAAAAAGCATTGGGTTCCAGAAAAATATTTTAGAATACAACATTTTAAAGTATTCACTTGTATTGGCGTAATTTTAAGTTATTTATCTTCATGAATCTTTTTGCATTATTTTGAATTACAGTGTAAATTATTACATTTCTCATATTTCATGTTGCTTGTGTTTGGGTAGACATTTAATTCTGATTTTTTTAGGTTAAACCTATTTCCAATATAAATCTTTTTTGCAAAAATTTGTCTTTTTTTTGTTTATATACTAAAATTGCAAAAAAGCTAAAAATGCTAAAAATATTTTATAAAAATGCTAAATAAAATGCCAAATGCTAAATTAAAATTTTACAGCTAAATCAAAATAAAAAATGCTAAATCTAGCTGCAAAAATGCCAGAATGGTCACACTGGTCCCCTGTCAAAAACCTAACTGGTGAGAATGCCTTAGTAGAAGCACAAAAATAAACACAGTTGTTCAAAAGGTACTAAATAATAAATGTATTTCAGATACGTTATTTTTTGTATGTTATTGCTGACATTTTATATACTAGTGAATGAAAATAATAGTTAATTAATTTTTTTCAGAAGACATTTCTTCTTAAAACATGTTATAAACACGTCTTTTTGTTATGTTTTTCTGCACTAATGGAAAAAGAAAAAAAGTATGTGAAATACTTTTTTCATTTTCAATACGAAAATTTACAACTTTTCTTTTTTTAAGTTTTAAATAAAATGAAATGTCAAAGAATAAAAAAAAATTTTTTTTGTTTGTAAAATATAAATTATTTTCGCGGTTTTAAATACAATAAAAGTGTGGCAAAAAATAATAAATATTAAGTTTATGTGATAAGAAAAACTATTAAGTGCTAATATCCTCGCAATTTCGCGAAGAAAATTTGAAGTTTTGTGAGCGCGTTTAGTTCTCTCAAGTGTGTTTTGTTCTCTCAGAACTCGTCTGTGTGAAGAGAATAACAAATTTAGTTTGACAATCCCTTCAGTTTCGCCTATATCCCTACTATATGGGTAATACCATGATAAAAATATGAAGGTAGTGTCATTTCTCTCTTTTAAAAAATTTTTTGAAGTTTACTGGTATTTTTGATATTTGTATTTTGTAAACAAATAGAAAAATCCCTGCCATAGTATATGAAAAATGGGAAACTAGTTTTAAAGAAATTTGTGTAGTGTATGTGGAATTTATGTTAATGATTTCTAAAATATTTTAAGTCCAGCGATAACCGTTGTTGAGCTGGCCCGATTTAGTTAGTTAGTCAGTTTGAAAGGAGGATGTATGTTTCATCAAACCTGAAGAAATACACCTAGGTTTACACCGGGCCTGTTGTGCTCTCCTTTATTAGTGTCTCTGGTGGAAATCGAACCCACGACTTCCGGTCTAACAGACTAGAATACTAACAACTAACCCACCGGAGCCACACAGATTTAAAAAATGGATTATAAAAAAATATATTCATATACATACATATGCGTAGATGGATCAAATTTAAGATAGATATATATTTCTTTAAGTTTAAAAGTATTTCATAGACAAAATAGACATGTGGTATACGACTTAAATAAAAAATGAACTTATAAAGTTAAGGCGAGCAACAAGAAATTCCACTTAGTATTCTTGTCCAATCCCTAA